TTCATAACCTGCTAGAGATTGAAAAACAGATTTTTGGCACAAGGGGATCTGCTGGCAGTTACACAAAATATAATTAATGGGAGGTTGTGAAGCGTGGATTGAGCATCTGAGAGTCAAGCCCTCCTTTAATATCACAGGTGTGCTTTTGGCAAAATCTGAAGAGGTTGCTGGGGGCAGGGAAAGAAGTCACCACAGACACAGCATATCGCATATCACAATACCCAGTATAAAAGACAACTAAGCTGTTGCTAAACAGAGAAACAGCGATGGGCTACAAACCCACAAATCCTGATCTCTAGTTGCCTCCACTCTGAAAAATGGTCTACAGATGAAAATGTTTTTTGTCCATTTTTACAACACAAACCAAAGCAAAATCTTGAGACAGTATGACACGCAGCACGCTGCACAAAACAGCTTTCAGCAACCGTCTTCACTATGTCAGAATATAAAAGCATACTAATTTTGTAGTCACTAGAGGGAGCCACCTAGCATTTTACTTGTGCTGCTCCTCAAGCGTTTGAAACTCAAATTTCATGGCTGTGCTAAAGGGAAAGATTACTTGTGTCAGATCTAAACTCACCAACTAATAAGTGTTGCAAAGAAGAGTTTGACTACCTATTTCTCTTTTTTTTTTTTCTGTAAGGAACCCTAATAGATGCTCAAATAACCTTCAGGTAGAAGCTAAAATAATCTTGGAGAATATTACCTCATTGAAGTGAAGTACATCTTTATCTTTGAAAGCATGTTGGGAAGCAGAGTGGCAGGAAGGTAATCTTCATAAACTGTGGAACCCTGACACAAGAATGGATTTCTTCTGCTTTCGGAAAGCAGTTTCTGAAGGTCAGCAAACTTTCTTCTTCATGTAACTATCTTCAAATGACAGGGACGTAATACACCCTTTCTACCTTTGTGGTGCAGACATTAGGTGAAGTTATATGGTCTTAACATACAAATATCGTATTTTTATGGATTCTCCAGACGTAGATCATTTGCCCAGAAATTAGAATGGAACATAGAAGACTCTGCTTAATCCTGATCTACAATGTATTATACAAAACAAAATGTTAACTGTGAAGCATTAAGAAAGCAGGACCTGCAGAAGACCTTTCTGGGCCAAGTTTAGAGTAAATTATATATGTAGGTGATAATGCAAGACTTTTGTATTTATCTCTCAAATTCTGTTTTCTAGAATTGATGATGACTAGTTATGTCTATAATGGGACACTATACTGGGAACTTCAGATGCCTCAAGTGCAGAGTCCTAATTTTGTGTGTACATATCCCTTACGGGCTGTACAAGGCTCTGGAATAGACAAGATCATGACCAATTTGCTTAACTTAAACTTCTATGGTGTCTCCTTGTGCACTGCTGATGGCTGTGTCTGGAGGTGGAAGAAACAAGTAAGCTCTCTTAATTTCCACAGTTCAATCAGTTTAAGGTCTGAAAATGAACCTCGAAGGAGGTTTATGCTAGAAGCCTTTTATCTCAGCATAAAAATGATAGATTAATTCTTAAAAATCGAGTAGATGACCCCCAAAAAGAAACTGTCCCTATCCTTTACTATGGCTTCTCATCCAGCCTGGATAGAACACAGGTTTTCGACAAAGGAGCAAGGCCTGCTTTCAGTTTGCACCATTACTGAAACCTTGGGATACAAACACAGCCAACCTTGAATAACCTTCCTGTGTCTACATGGGGCAAAAAAAGAGATGAAGCAGTAATGCAGGAACGCCTGCCAGTCACAACTGGGACTCAACACTGGTCTTAGCCAGACAAGGGCAGGGAGACCTCCTCCCCCAAGTCATGAGAAACATTTATACCATCTAGTTATCCCAAAACGGAGAGCAGAGGAGTTGCGTGCATTGCTATAGAGCAGCTCTGAGTATATCCAATCCCTTGTGCAAAAGCTTACTTAGACAGGAACAGGCAGGACACGTATGAAAGCAGAAAATTAATAAATTAGGCCATTACTTCCCAAACATGATAGATGTTTTGAAGCCCAGGACACTTCTCTTCGCAGTCTTCACCAATTTTTTGGTACTTCACCGGCAGTTGTATCAGGCCCTACACTTACCTGAAAGTACCAAATATACTCAGCTAGGAGCAGAAATCCCAGAGACTGCAAAGAAAAACACCCACTCTAATTCTTCTTCATTTATATGCTGTAGCGTAAGGTACAATTTGTGCTTTAGAAGCTCAAATGGACAAGAGTTTATTACATGTTCTGTCCCCGTGGACTGCTTTCCTCTGACTAGTGTAGACTGTATAGATGAAAGCCTTTGTACAAACCATGTCGATTTGAATAGGGTTCATCAATTTTTACCTTCACAAGAAGATGTGGTGCTGGGTATTAGCTTAAATACTTTAATCATTTTGCCTTTCAGAATCATCTGTGTAGAGAGAACCATTACATTAACACCAATGCTGGTTGCGCTGGCACCAATCTGAGCAGGAACTTTCTGCTGCACAGGGTAGTAAGTAACCTGACTAATATAAAGACCACCTTGAAACTAGCCTGCAGGGGTACATTGGTAACAGGGATTATTTTGTCAGTCATTGAAAATGAAGGCCTTTAATGCTTCACTTTACATTCTCCTGATTTTACACTGTAATACAAAAACTCAAATGCTGTGAATACAAACCTTATTTGCAGTTATTGGTGCCAAAGAGAGGCATGTAAATCAACTGACCATGAGCCTGCACGAGACTGAAGCTCTCGCTGCCTTAATTTGTAACAGCCTCTCTTCCATCAAGGCACATTTAAGCTTCCATTCGTATTCTTAGCTGCTGTATTTCTTTATGGATACAATTCCACAAAAGTACTTAATTATGACAAACCAGTATTTAGAAAAGCTAATACAGAGCTTAAACTTCTATGAAAGTGTATATAATCATAATGAACTGGCATGCCAAAAAATCACAGGAGATCCTATACTTCCAAGAGAACCTAATCACGATGAACTGGCATGTAAGAAAGCTGAAGAAGCCCCCCCGCGAATTTTTAAAGACTTAATTCTGTTATTTTTGTTAAGCGCTAGCTTCAGCAGAGCCATGACCGATTTCAACTAGGGAAGGCAAAAATCAAACCACGTTCAATCAACTTCCTCTACATGCGCTGTTGAGATCCTAAGACTTCACATGGTGTATCATGTGCTTTTAAATCCCATTTTGATTGAAACTTTCTCAAAATAGAAAATTTAACTTTAAAACAAAATCCTTCCATGCACATTGCATGTATGCAGCAAAAGACAGCGATGGTTTTGAGGGAAAATCTTAGCACCTCCGTTTCATTTGACAATGACTGTCTTGCAGCACTTAAAATAAAAAATAATTTTAAATCTCATTTTTATAAGGAAGTGCACCTTGAAAACTACTTCTTACACACCGAGGACTTTCACGTCCACTTCAATATCAGTAGTAATTTAATTTCTGTTCTGTAATCCAAAAAGTACCAGAATGAAGAGCATTAACCAAACATCTTTCAGCATCCAGTTAAGAACTGAACAAGACTGCAAATTCAGTCCAAGGGAAGGAATATTCACTCTCTCCATTTTAAAAGACACTAGAATAAAGGATGTAGACAAGAGTCTGAATGTAACTCCTTTCTCTCACTGATTCTGTTAAAAAAAAAAACAACAATCCATTTTCAAGTTGCAGCTTTATTTGAAAGTGACTTAGAGTTTTGGTAACACAATTTTTTATACAAAATTGATACAACAAAAAATAAGCTTCAGAGGTTTCCTAGAGCAGATTACAGGTTGTAAAGTCATAATCAAATGTACTATATCAGAAAAGGTAACTTTGTTCAAAGTCTTGTTTGCAGGCCAGCACCAAGTGATACGAAAATCTAGCTTTATCCTACGTGCCAAAAAAACCAAAGCCCACACAAAACCTCGCTTCCTAAGTAAGCAGTCTCATTGCAGTTGTTCTATCTCGCTGTATTTCCAGTTTACAGTAACAGTTGTGAGTAACTGTACACAAGAAACACATCAAGATTTCCGACATCTTCAGTGAGTAAAGATCAACTTTTACGTACCTGGTATTTTAAAGATTTTTAAGGAGTCATGGACAACAAGGTATTTGGACAAAACTTTATGAATTACCATTTCCAAAGAACTCAGAAGTCCATTAAAAAAAAATCCAAAGCCCTGTAACAGTTCCTTTTAAACTATTTCGTTTCAGCAGGTCAATTTCACAGATCTTGGGATCACTATTTTTATTCCTATGTCTGCCATACATCAAAATCCCATCATATAAACCAGCAGTATTAATAGGATTCAGAGCGGGGGTGGGGGGGAATCTATACAGTCCTGCAATTCTTTTACCATTCTTACCACATGCTCAGCAGAAAGTAAGGCTTCTCTCAAAACTCATCTTTTTTTATTTTTACCTTTGTCTGAAATCAAGTTTCTCAAATAGAAAATCTATTTTGAGAACAAACTTTCTCATTATACACACAGTTCCTCAAACGTCCCATTTTTGGGAGTAACTGTACAACCTGATTTCATGCCACCCTTGTAGGCACAGGAAAGATACTGTTCCTCAAATATTAAGGCTGTAGAAAGCTACTAGACAGGAGCAAAATGCTACTACTCCACTGTGAAAATAACTGTTACTGTAATTCTTACACTTGCTGTTCTCTGTATCCTACAAAGCAAAACAGTTCTGAATCAAGGCTTGTTGTGCAATCACATTATACTTTGTAGAAGACTGCAAGGATCTGTTTTCTGCTCTCTGCTAGGCTTGCTTCTCACTTTATGATTCCCAGGCTCATCAATCTGACTTGTTTTATTGTGGCCGTTCATGTATTTGTGCTAGGAACAGCACCAGTGTGAAAGGATGCTAATCCAGTAACGCCAGAAAACCTGCAACTTTAAGTCTTCCCTAGAAATTGGAAAATTTCCCTAGAAATTCCACTTCCTTTTCAGGCTCTTTGTCTTTTTCTTTCATCTCTGAAACATACACCAATCCTCCTTTATCACCGCTCTCCACCCTGTGATACCAATGTAAACAAAACCCAGTGATAGAATAATCAAGTTTTGCCAGTGAAAAAAAGCACCATACCGTTAACCCTTTGCTCCTTTTAGTAGAGTTACAGCAGCATTTAGAGACCAAAGCCTCACACGTACTATTGCTTAAAACCTTGCTCCCAGGTCCTCCCTGTTAATGTACTCTGTAATGCTTTGGATCCTGGTATTAAAACGGAAGAGACATTGAACATACTATGTGATCACAGGAACGCGGATAGTAGTTTCTGTGAATTTCTAGCTACATAAATTTGTGTGCAACAGACCTACTTTGTGCCTGGTGACATTTACAATGCAGATTTAGTTCTCCTGTGAGGCTGATGAGTCATTCACTATTCACTGGCATTGAACAGTTTTGCCATAGCCACCTCTTCCAGCATCATAGTCTTGCCGATACTCATCTCGAACCTTACGAAGGAGGAAAAAAGGGAAGTCCAGTAAAGACAAAGAAAAACAATTTCTCAAAAACTATTACACCATCAGAATATAGGCAAACTGAGTTCACAAGATGTAAGTGGCCACAAGGAGCCGACTGGCAAAACAGAAGGCAAAGGGCATCATGCAGAAGCCCAGAACACAGCATAAACTAACTTCCTTTTTAATAATGTCCAGGGGGACTCTTTAACCAAGACAGCCAAAGTGAGGATGGTTAGCCTCAGGCTTCAGCAGTAAAAGCACCTGCTACCTACTCAACTTTAGGTAAGCTAAGTGCTGTCCTTTGTGTTCTTGACAGCCTTACATTTCCTGGGCTTATTTATAAGCATTATCTCCCCAAGCAGACAAGAAGTTTCTGAAAGTACTTTCAGTTAAATATATGAAAAAGTTATTTATTCTTAGTGGATAACATCATCACTGATGTCTCACAGACTAACGTACAGTGCTATCTTAAACAATAATTTGTAAGTTGTTATTTCTGAGTGTGTTCATTCAAAAAGCAGTAATTTGGCAAAGTCACCAGTCCCTTAAAAACTAGACTGCACAACAACGTACCTGGCCTCCTGATCTTCCACGACCATACTGTCTACCCTCCTTAAAACCTGCATCCCAGTCTGTCCTTATGATCCTATCATCAAGTCTGGTTCCATTGATGTATCGCATTGCATTTTCAGCATCTCCTCTTGCATAATACCTTAGGAATAGGTTAATGAAAAAAAACGGGCTTCTATTTTCAACACATGGAAAAAAGAACAATATCAAATGGGATACAAACCCAAGCATTTGCTTGAATCAGGTTCCTGCTCGGTTATGTTTAAAAGCAACTGCTTTTATGAAGCTATGTGGGCTGAGAAAACTGCTAGTGAAACAGAGCAATGTGCAGGAATTCAAGCATGTTAAAAACACATATATTGGATGAAGTTCTTTAACCACACTCAGCCTTAAAAGCATAAAGCTCTACTACTAAAGAAAGAATGAGAAGCCCGTGCATGCTTCGTTCATGCTGCAAGCCTTCACCATTTCGGTGAGTTTGCTGGAACCAGTAACAGAATGATCTTCAAAGAGACTTGCATGTAATGAAGTCAACACATAACAGGGATGCAAAATACCAACAGAAACTTTACGCGTATGCTTGTATGAAAAGAAACACTTCTTTACTCGGCCGCTGAGAATGTGCTTTTACTGCAGAGGCCAACTATTTAAAAAGTGTCTGGCTTAAAGTATCAGAGTGAAAGCAACCTAATAACCCCCACTCGACGTGCAGTGTAAGTTTGCCCTCTCTCGCCCAGGACTCCCACAGATACTTTAGCAACCGAATAGTTTTATCCTCGGATCATTTTCCCGTGACTCAGAGCCTGCATTTCAGTTCCCCCACGCCCTGGCCGCTCCTGCCCACCGCTGCGGTGGCCTGCGGGCGGCACAACCAGCCGCCGCCCAGCACGGGCC